AAGGAAAAAAAAAAAAAAAAATATATATATATATATATATATATAAAAAGAAGAAAAGAAAAGAAAAGAAAGAAAGAAAGAAGAAGGTACAATTCGGGACAAGGACTGACTACGTGAAGGTCAGCGTGCAATAACAAAAATGAACCTGTGGTTGAAGGCAACAAGAGCTTCATAATAATTTCATTTTCTTTTATTCGAATTTAATCGATGAGCAGCTAACTCGACAGACCCACTTACGATGGGTAAAAATTCACGCACACCATTTTTTCCCACGTCGTTGCAGTTACTCCCTCTCATTTACGACACATTCACGGAGAAAACGAGAGAGAGAGAGAGAGAGAGAGAGAGAGAGAGAGAGAGAGAGAGAGAGAGAGAGAGAGAGGGGAAACACAGAGAGAGAGAGAGAGAGAGAGAGAGAGAGAGTACCTGTTGTTGGAGATTCTTGATGACGAGATCTCCAGCGGGGGGATGGGTCTTCGTCCAGCGATGATAGGCAGCAAGAAGCACGCTTGCGCTGAGCCAAAAGCCACTAGCCCAGCTAACACACTCCTCCAGGAACTGACCATAATGCACAGCTCCTCTGACGACGTGAGGGCGTCCTTTCTTCTTCTCGTAATTGCCGAACGAGAGCGCCTGCAGGTTCACTTTGTGCTCTTCTGAAAGGAACGGCTCCTCTCCATTGCTGCGCCTACTGCGACTTTCCTGCGGATGTGTTGCCTCTGATACCCCCTCTCCTCCATGTACACCCCTCTCTCCTCTTCCCACTCCTCCTCCTCCTCCTCCTCCTCCTCCTCCTCCTGGTTCTCCAATTGCTGGAAGAAAGCCAGGCCTTCCGATGGTCGACGACGGCGCAAAGAAGTCGCTCCGCCGCATTCCGAAGAGGTCCAGCTCCGCTCCCTCACGTAACTGCGCATGCAGGTGGTCGAGTCTCCCTCCGCCTACTCCTCCTCCTGCCCCTCCTGCCCCTCCTCCCCCTCCTCCCCCCCTTCCCTCTTCTCCGAACGACAAGCGCAGCTGCCGCTCGAACAAGGAACCCATCACCTCAAATCTCGACGGCGGTGCTTGGACCCCCACCGGCCCCACGTCCCCCATGCCAGGCCCGTGGAAATGCTGCTGGTCCTCTTCACTCTTCGCTCGATGTTGTGGATAATGTTGGCGGTTCTGCTGCGGATAATGTTGAGGGATATTCTGATGATGATGATGATAAGAATGGCTGGTGTGCTGCTGTTGATTCCCCCAGTCCTCCCTTATACCTTCTCCTCCTCCTCCTCCTCCTCCTCCTCCTCCTCGTCGTCCGGCGAGTCCGACCTCCTCTTCTGCCCGCTGTGTGTTTTGCAGGAGCCCCCCACCCACCACCATGTCCATGGCAGTCGCACTCCTCCCACTCCCCTGATCATCGTTGTCCCGCGGATGCGTTTCCTGCTTTACGAATTCCACTGCTCGAGCCACGGGCTGGCACGCGCCGACCTCCGCCGGCCATTCCGCCAATGCTGCGGGGATACTCTTCCCCCTCCTCTCTCTCTCCCTCTCTCCACGTTGGCATAGGGCTCCGCCCCCGCCCCCGCCCCCCTGCTGCTGCTCCAGCCGGCCACCGCCCCGGCTTTCCCGCTCCGGCAGCATGCCGCTGCATCGACGAGCGCTCAGTAGGCAGGCGGGATCGGGATCGGGACCGGAGAAGGTTTGTCTACGCGGGTGTTGCTGCTCCTCATGTTCTTGGTCGAGTTCCTCGTCCAGGTCGGGGTCTCGATGCGTCCCCCCTCCGCCCCCTCCTACTCGACCACCTCCTCCTCCTCCTCCTCCTGCGCCTCCTTCCTGCCCCCCTGGTCTGTCGCCCCACGATTCGTGCCCCCTTCCCGACAAACTGCTCCCGAGCTGCTCCGCCCCCATGCCTTGTCCGCTTCGTTCCGCCTCCATTCCGGTCATTCGCGCCGCCGAATCGCTGCAGCAAGACGACAAAAGACTCGGTGGAGATGGCATGGTCACTCGCCCGCTCAAGGCGTTCCCAGAAGCAGCAGCAGCAGCAGCCCTGCTGTTGTTGCTGCTGCTTCGTATGCTGTCTGCCCCCCCCCTCCTTACCCCGCCCATGAGACTGAGCGTCAGTCCGTCGTCCTGCGCGGGCGCAGGTGGCGTTGTGGTCTGCGCGGCGCCGGAAAAAGAGCCGATCGCGCGCGCGTAAGGCGGGGAATCAGAACTCAGGGTCCGCCTTTGACACGTGTCGTCCTCTCCGGCGCCCCCGTTCATCGCTGCCAACGACGACACCATCGCTCCAACGACGGCCGTCGTGGACGTCGAGGATGCCTGGCTAATTCTACCCATCATCGCACCGCCACCACCTTTCCGCCCCAGCTCCGCGCTCTCGCAGACGGATGATTGCAAGGATCGCGATCCCGGTGACGCCGAGCTGGCGGCCGCGGCTAAGGAGGAGGAGGGTAGCGAGGAGGGAGGCGCAGCAGCCGAGGAATAACCATGGGGATGATGCCCAGTAGGAGGAGGAGGAGGAGGAGGAGCAGCAGCGTCCCAGAAGAAGTGAGCACGGTCGTTCTCGTCTGCCACATTGCGCGCCATCGCCGTCGGGTATCGAGCCGCGTTGACGGTCGAGGTCCCGACAATCGGCTGTTCCACCACACTCGCTCTCGGGAAGAATAACCCCTCCCCCCTCTCCCTCTCCCTCACCCTCTCCCTCTCCCTCTCCCTCACCCTCTCCCTCTCCCATTTCTTCGCCTCCTGAAGAGCGGCCCTGTTTGTCGAGCAATCCCCCCACACGACCGCGGATCGAGCCACACGTCCGTCCCCTACTTTCTCAGGCGAATTTGGCGCCAAACACGAATCCGTGCCACGTGGCCTGAGATTGACATGATCCGCCTTGGATAAGCCTTCCTTGCTATGCTTCCACGTCAGCACGTCGCCCACGCCCGTGGCGATTCCAAGCTTCGTCAGCATGCTAATCCGCGAAGGCGGAGCTAACCCTACGATGCCTCCACCTCCACTTCCAGCAGCACCCGTACCGTAAACCCCGTTGGCTCCCGAGGCTGTGTCCGTCGCCATCGCCATCGCAGTCGCGTCGGCCATAGCTTCCCCCATAGCGACGACAGCCCGATTGCTGTGACCGAGCAGTCTGGTCGAGCGGCCCGTCGACTCCTTCCCTCCCATTGCAACAACACCCTCGGCCTCGCCAGCGCCGTTGATGCTGGCACATCTGATCGAGGGAGAGGGAGAGGGAGAGGGACAGGGAGAGGACGGGTAAGAGTGATGGTGGTGGTGGTGGGTGGATGACCGACGACTGTCCTGGTTAAGAAACCAGCCCTTCCCCCGGTGGTCTTCCCCCTCTACCCCCGTCAAAAGAATGGGAAAGGGTAGTACTCTCTCCCTCTCCCTCTCCCTCTCCCCCTCCGCCCTCACCTCTCCCGACGAGATGCGTGCGGCGGCATCGTCACAGCATGCCGCGTTGACTGTGGTTGCGCCCCCCTCAGCCTCCTCGATTACCTCCTCCTCCTCCTCCTCCTCCTCTCGTTGTCGCATGTCCTTCTCCCCCTGCTCACCCTCCTCCTTTTCCTTATCCTCCAGACCGGGTAAGGGTTGATTGATATCCAGTGACATCAACGGTTCAGAAGCCCCACATTTTCTGCCCGACAGCTTTGGACTGTCGGTGGCACCGTAGCGCCTAGGCGCCACACCATAGCTGTCCCTCTCCTTCCAGGATTCCCTGAAAGATAACGGAGCCGCCGAGGTGCTCTCTCTCTCGCACGAGATGGTCAACTCCGGACTCAGTCCCCGTTCCTCCCACCCCGCCTCCTCCCCTTC